GTGAAGTCATTCTATAATGCGTGCAAAGAAATTGCATACGGTATGTGACCTCATAAGTACTAAGAATAGAATCAGTTTAGTGATTGGATGCTTTTTATGGTTGTTGGACAACACCCACAATTTCAATAACTAGCTACCTTATTTGGCAAATTGATGATCTTTCAAATTTCGTCTCAAGACTCGTTGCCTAGAGGTTTCCAATACAGTTTTAAAAATGGTTTCTAGAAACCTGCATGAGTTATTGGTAGATAGTTTCTAAGAATAGTCGTAAATTATTTGTGTGCCCGAGTATTGGATATAGCCCTCTATCGCCACCATTCTGTGACGTCCATAGGCGTAATGACCCATTTAGGATCGCGTGAGGCACGAATACGTTGATATTGGAGATCTAGAGTTCAAACTCTTTGATCACTACCTTACGCAGCATTGAACTGCAAAAATGTTAATTGGTATCTACTTGTTAATAAATAGTTGCTTTCCCGCGCTCCCCATCGGCAACCCTCGAAAAGATAACTGTGTTATTGATGATATTGCAACTGTCGTTAAACGTAATGAATTCTAATTTTAAACTTCTAACTCTAAACAGCAACATTGTTTAACAATCAACAGACTAATGATTAGTAATTACCTATGTGCAATATACGTGTTTATATCCGAGGCGAAAATTCTCCAAGACCTCGCATGGGCCTCCAAGGAAAGTTTGAAGGTCTATTAGTTCGACGTATAATGCCTTAGTGCAGTGCTCTTCAACCGGGTATACGGTATACCCAATTGCATACCGGACCATAAGTTGGGTATACAACTGATAAAGGGTATACGAAGCGTGTACAGCCCAAGTCAGGGATTCTAAACTGTAATATAATAAATCATAAAATATTGAAGCGGAGACAACAATGTAAACGCAGCGCACAATGTCATTTGCGCAAAGAACCGACGCGAGCACATTGTTACATCACAAATTATATAGATAATGCGGTCACGTGTCTGGGTTGGTGATTTCGGTAGCCATGCACTTAGTTTGATTTACGTTGAACATTATTCCCGTTGACGGTAAGGCCGTCAGTCAAATTTAAAACATGCGGACACTAGCCTATTAGATTGCATGATGATATTGCAGTACAACATGTTTTGAAATTTAATGTTTATTTAAGCCTCAAATAAACATTGGTATTTGTATACAAAGTTCTTAAAAAATGTAAAAGGTATACCACGATAATAAAGGTTGAAGAACACTGCCTTAGTGTAACGTTTCCCGACTGGGGAGGAATTTTGCTTTGCATTCGCTGTCGTATCAGTGATATTCTTTAGTGTTTTGAAAAGTTATACTTATACTGATACTTATTCCTGAACACATAATAAACTACGTAAACTGTACAAAAATGGGAGTGCGCACAACACAAGTAGAAGATTGAAGGAATAAAGTAGTTCTATTCCTAGAGAGGGTGGAATGAAGAATTCCGAAATAGGCAAAAGTGGGAATTTAACAAAATAGGTTAGGACCCACTGCGTTATTGGATACTCAAACGCACCAACCAAACCAACAACACATTTCCAATACAATAATAGGTACTCCCGTAGTGTATGTACCAGGTCATGGTTAGGCCATAATTTTATTCCGATTTTCCTTATTTTAGTTCTATTACGAGTTCGGGGACTGTCTGTGTTAGCCAAATGAATATACCCCCTGCCCATAAGTGTCAGTCTTTTTATACAACTTGGGCTAACTTAGGCGAACAAAATTAGTTACCTCCTTATTGGTACATGCACTTCTGAAGCGCCCAATAATGGATTATCTCCAATTGTTTTGAAAATAATCGTAAATAACTCAACCTATGAAAAATGTATGTTCATAACAGTCACACAAAAACACACACCTCAAAATGTTATCGATGCTATCGCGAATATTGCAATTCTTTATGTAAAATCCGTGCTTGTTATCGGAACCGAGAATCTTCTAAACGTAGCGTGGAGTCACTTTGGCGTGGACCGAAGTGGGAAGTTTGCGAGATAATTGTTAGTTAGATACTTATATTGTTTAATTGACTTAATTGTATTGTAATATTAATATCAAAGATAATAAAATCTTTAAGGGGCATCGTCATGATCCTTACTTTTTTATCAACTCAACCGCAATTCCAGTTTGAGCACGTAACCTATATTATTTTTTCTATATTTCGGGGTCAAATTTTTACCATAACTAATTAGTTAATAGCAATTAGAAGCATCAGACGTTTCAGTGTCTCAGTCTTACCTCCTGATTCGTATCAAACGTTTCTGCAAATTCCTATAGTTTCAAACACACACCTTTAATAGCTCAACCAATCGTAAATTAGCAGAAAAATTTGAGAGACACATTTAAACTGAGCCTAGCCTAGAATGTGAAACACCAAAGCCTTTAGTAGCCACTAAATCAGTGGTCGCTCCATTTTTTGCTTTTAATTTCGGTCAGAGCAGATAATCTGTGTTCACAGAGCCATGAAGATGTAAATGGCTAAATTATATTGATGGCTTTTGCATCGATGATTGAATATAATTTGTAAGCAGATAGCCAAAACTTGTCCAAACTTGCTTTCCTGTTAGCGCGCAAGTCAAAATGGTGGAAGGTGGAAGTCTTGTATACTTATGCATTATAACATAAACAATATAAATATAATGTGACAATCACCAATACTTCAACGACAAGGCAAAAATATTAGCAGTCTAATAATGGATAGTAAGACTCGCAAGCTTGCTCGCTGACTATGTGTAATACGAATAGCTTATTTTCTAAAAATCCAGAAAGCTTCGCGGCACATATGAAATTAGGTGACCGTACATTTGAACCCATGTACATTTGAACCCATGCGTATATCCACGGGTTCAATCTATATGCGGGTGCTAAAACCCATGGGTTAGGGTTAGTATGGGTTTAACTATCCGTGAAACAAAAAAATTTCCATAGGTGCAATAGCATACAGGTGCAATTGTCATGGGTTCAAATGTACGTGGGTTCAAATGTAATGGAACCATGGAATTAGTGTGCCGCGGCACACAGTTTGAGAAACGTCTTTAGTAGTCACTAAATAGACACAAGCATTTGTTTTTATCCGATAAGCGTGCAACTTAACTACGGTTACATGATTTCCGTATGCGTAATGGAGCGTGTAACCTACCATTGATTCCCGAAGTAGGCACGTGAGCAAAAAAACAAGATTCTAGCCGCAGACTGTATTACCTCTTCAGATTAAAGATAAATGTACCAACCTTTATGATAAATTGTCTTTGTTCGTCCCTTTCTTTCAAACTATCATTCACACCCTTGCAATCTACTTCTGCAACTTATTAATCATAAAGAAGTACGCGGAAACACGAAGCACTATATTCCAGTTTTTCTTTAAATATCCATTTCTGATCATTGAAAATAGTTACTACAGTACTACGCTGTTACCGTTTGATCATTTGAATATACGTTGCAAAGTTATATCGATCATGCGTCGCTAGAATTGGTCACTCAGATAGTGAAGACTTGATAAATAGACGGGACTTTGAGCTCTGAAACCACCCCGTTAACTTGTCAATCGATGTTGAAGATCCCCTGCTTGTGTTATCACCTGAATGAGTAGGCATTTTATGTCATTATGAAGTGTGCTGTTCGCCAGCGATCTGTTCTTATCAGTGTATACGTCTGGGAAATTTCAACGACTTCGCTCCAACATTATTAACGACGACTGCTATGAATTAAAACAGAGCTCTGGTATTAGTGCAACACCACTTTCTAATTTAGATCCCGGGACAAAGTAGGGAAATCGTGAACCATAAACGAAGCTGTGATCCTAATAAATTTTTCTCGATAGCTGTGAAAATTTTATAGTAGGAATAGATTCTTGCCATCTACTTACTGCTAACTGTAAATACGCTCACTTTCCCAGATTGTTATAAATTGGTGAGACAATGTCGATTCCTCTCACTTTTGTTATGTAACTTTTTGTCTTAGCAGTGTTTCCCAAAGTTGATTGGCCGGGGCCAAATTAGAAAAACAGAAGCATATTCGCGTGCTTGAAGGGGAAGCGCCCACAAGTGGCCAATAATTGCACCGGTCAGTATAATTAAGAAATCGGTATAATTGAATTGGTACGGATAAACACGTGACCAACTGTGATAATGTAATGTAATAACAATTGGCGGAAACTAGAACACAAATAGATAAAAGCAATGTTTTAAACTATTTCACTTAAATTCGGCGGGCCATAATAAGTCGTTACACGGGCCGTATTTTGCCCGCGGTTCGGGAACCCACTGACTTGAGACGTTCGTAGAAGAGGAGTTACGTGCATCGCAGCAGACGGACTAGCCCTATATTCTACATGTCGAAAGTTATGTATTAGATTTATGTAAAGCGCGTCAATCTGATCTAACACACATTATGACATAGATATATTTTATGGAACGAGGGAACTGGTTGCTGATGAATAGATACAAAAGAGAATCCGTTCCTAACATTTCGTAAACCATCCTTCCTTACACTTATCTGCAGTTTTGAAAAACATGTCGACCACTGGTTGTTTTCAATTGAAATGAGAAAGTACCGAATCAAGTGGTGAGGAATTCTATTTAAATTGATTGTTAAACTTAGTAGCCCTTTTTCCGATCTAGACTCGCGGGCCATGTGAGTGTGACGTACAAAGTGACATTTTATTTTATTTACAGTTACACAATTGAAAAACTGAACTGAATTTAATTGCAATTTTAACAAATTCCTTGAGCTAGTTTTAGCTAAAATATCAAAATTTGGTTTCAGTTTGGTTGTGGCCCCATCAGGCGGGCCAGATTAAGATACCCAACGGTCCTGATTTGGCCCGCGAGCCGTAGTTAGCCCATTTCAGCGCTAAGACAATGCGAACATATCAGATAAATCAGTTCAAGTAAGTATTTAGTTATCTACTTGACTAAGTCTGGTCACAGATTGTGATTAGGCCCGAGGTAGTTGATACAATGTTAACAAATAAAACAATAATGAAACATTTTCAATTTTAGAATAAATATAATTATTCATTGAATTAAAAAATATATAAAGTCAGTAACACTGAAAGCGTGATTCGTAATTGCACTACAAAAATCGTTCATATAAAAATTTAAAACGCGGTTGAATACTCTTTTTCTTCGTTGTCTGTTTCTTCTTTTTCATAGCCTTTGTTCGTGGTTCCGCCATTTTTTGTTTCTTCAAGTTCTGGAAGTACATCCGCACGATGACGCGAACGTGCGACGAGGTTCATGAAAATGAAAAATATTGCACACCCACAGCAGAGTCCAAGAATCAAATACATCTAAATAAATAAAATGCATTAGTTGGTTCTAGGAAAATGCGCCGCAGGAAATCCCACCGTAGGAGATTTCGTCGCATAGCAAACATCGTCGTATTTTACTGTAAAACAAGTATTTGTGATGAAAACAGTTAGGTTTTTGAAGTAGCTTTTTATTTGAAAAAGATTCGTTATTCAAGAGGAAATACCCTAACCCTCACTGACGCTATGCGGCGAAATTTCCTGCGGCAAATTTTCCGGACACGGCATTCATTAGTTTTGACCTGACTATGACGATCAAATATTTGATTCAATCATGCAAAGCAGATGTTGCCGAAATTTTTTGTCCTTTGGTTACTTAGGTGTTTATTGCAGAAAACGTTAATGATCTAACGCTAATATGTGACACAAAGTATATCTTATTGACTTTTCTTGGCTCCGATAATTCAACAATATTATGGATATTATATTATGGAATAGGTTCGTGGCAATTTGAATTGAGGAAATTTCAATATCTCCCTTCACTTCAGTTATGCAATATTTAGTTCAATTTATGCTGTTCTTATGGAGTATAGACATGACATGGGCACACTACGTCCCGCGGGCCAAATCAAGACCGTTGGGTACTTCAATCTGGCCCGCCTGATGCTGTAACAACAAACCAGATTATAATGTTTTAGCTAAAAAAAAGATAGCTCAAAGAATTTGTTGAGATTGCGATTAAATTTAGTTTTGCCACGAGGCTTGTTGTTTTCTATTTTTGTAACATTGTAAATATTGTTCATAATATGTCACTTTTACGTCACACTCACATGACCTCCAATCTGGGTGAGCGAAATTGCCCACCCCTGGCATAGACTGTCATGCACAGTCTTTGATACTCAACAGTCTCAACACTGTTACATTCTTAATAAGCTTTCAACTTACCACAGAAAAGGGATTTTTATCAAACAACGCTCCTCCCGCCGGCATCATTAACATTACACCAAATGCATTTCCAATTGCGAATATGAACATGTATTTCCCAGCCATGTTTGTTACTTGTGATGTCCATGACACACCTGTACGGAATTAAAAAATGAATCTGGGTAAACACTATGCTTCAGCACATCAAGTCTATGCATCCGAAAAAAAAAATGGTCAGCCATTCCCATACCCATGGACTGGTAACCGGACGAGAGACCATGGTTCGCCATATGATTAAACCACTTTATAGACTTTCCGCTCACCCGGTATTAATATGAAATACCCTATCATATTTTTGAATAGCACGTCTGATCAAGTCTGAAATTGTTCGTACTATGCGTTAAAGGGCATAACACTATGAAGTTAGAGCTTAGTATTGAATGCTAAATCTGATTTTCAACACTTGCGGTGTGAATTGTATGTGGTCGCTATATTTGGTGAGGCTGGAGAACTTCGTACAACAAAATACATAACGCCACGCAATTTTAACCCATGCTTATCGCTCATCCAGGTGGGTATTAAAATATACGTAATTACGGATTCTTGCATTAACCTATTTTCTGTCGGCACATCCATATGGGCGTCCGTACCCTTCCTTAGCTGTCGAATTCCGGTAATTGGAATGTTAATAGTGACTACTATTAACAGTGTACGATACATGAAACTGTTTCAACACAGGTGATTGTTGCATGTTTATTGCTAACAACCTACTATCAAGCCTTCTTATCGGCTGTCTTTTGCCGAATTTATAATTAATTTTCTTTATTGATAAATACTTACCACTAGAGTACAGTGTTGCAACGCATAAACCATGAAAAAATGAGACAATCCACGTTACCAATGGAATATATTCTCCCCATATACACATCACAGTCTGAAAAATAATTTATGCATACGTGTAAGAGACATACTCGATCGAAATGGTATTTTTTTTCTTATTACGCTATTTGCGCGTAATTGTAACCTATTCTAAAAAAACTGACCAAGTTACCAATTTGATAAATCAAAGGAAACACTCAGTAATTAGTAATTTAGTTCTTCACCATGCTATAAAATACGCACTAGACAAAGGGATACCATATTTTTGTGACTTCAAAGTGGGACGCCTCTAAAGACTACGACCCCTTAGCTGAGATTTTGTAACTTTACATTTTCTGATTTTACCACATAGGCCTACATTTAAAGCTATCCCGGCTGTCTTCATGGACCATATTATCATCGAGAATTTATGCGCATATTCTCTGACCAAATATCGGGTTTCAGTTCGAAAAATAGAAATGAATTGTCGTTAACGATACCGGTACAAATAATTCGAATTTAGACTAATTAGTATTGGTTTTACATGCGATACGTTTTTTAACAATGTTAGCGGGAAACAACGAAACAAACGCATTCACCTCCAGTAAGTAGGCTAGCGCTGCGTTACACAGAAACAACAGTAACAAGAACATGTTCGTGTATTATGCTGGAAGGCTGAACGCCAAAGCGGGACTTTTGGCTGACTTGTCGGACGGCGGGACAAGACGCTGAAAAGCGGAACTGTCCCGCCTAAAGCCGGGCGTATGGTAAGCCTAACTAGACATTCACAACTTAAAAGAAATCACATTTAAGAGTGAAGGGAGGCGCCGCAAACCAATACTGCCACCATTTGAAGATTTGAAGACAAGAATGATACTTGGGAAGAAAGTCGAACTAAATGTATTATTCAAAAAAAAAAAAAAACGATAAAACGACCTTGTATAAACACTCGATCAACATCAATGGCAAAAGTTTTCGACAGTGACTATATTCAAAAACTGCAAATTAACGATCTATAACAGGGGTGGGCGCAATTTTTCAGCATAAGAGCCACATGCTGCAAGTCAGAACTTTAAAAGAGCCGCAGATTTTGTGAATTTAGTAATATAATGAAAATACCATAAACAGAAAAGAAATTCACACAAGAGTCTAATAACAATAAATAGATAAACAAGGGAGCTATACTCAAATATATGCACAATTTAAGCTCATTTAATTTGTGTTTCCTTATAGGTGATTTACGAGGGTAGTCTCGTAAGAGGTTTTCATGATTCGTTTCATGGTGCCGTTTAACATTGCTGACTTTATTCTGACTTAGTAGCTTAGGACAGATAAAGCACAAAGGTTTATTCTCCTGACTGGTAAATGCGTATTCTTCTTCCCATTCTGACTTTACAACTCTGTTTTCATCTTCGTACTTTCGTTTTTTAATTGAGGACATATCGCACAGTAACTTAGACTAACTAACCGCAATCAAGCTGCAATACCGCCGACGCATCAATAAACATTGACCATTGTGACGAAAGATTTGCTGATTTGACTGACTTAAATTCAAAATTCAACGCTACAAGCCTACAGCGATTTTCATACTAAAACATAATTTGTCCTAATCATTGACGAAAACTTCTTTACGACTTTTAATAAATTGAAAGAGTTTACATTAAAGTTTTTCTCTTAGTTAAAATATGGATAATAATTTATGTTAGCGAGAAGAGCCGCACAAAGAGTCTGGCGAGCCGCATGCGGCTCGCGAGTCGCGGTGTGCCAACCCCTGATCTATAACAGGGGTTCTCATGCAGTGGGGCGCGCTCCACAACATGGGGGTTAGACAATTTTTTGAGAAGACGTGAAGCTAATTAAAAACAAGAGAGCTACGCCCAAATATATGGACACGTCTGTTCGCAGTACAGTACGGTTTATCGTTCCGTCAGATCACATTCTACAAATATATTCGCACCAGGCGAAGCAGTACAGTCGGACACAAAATGGCGTCCGATGTCCGCAGAACGTTCGGTGACGTCATACCAAACAAAAACAAATCTCACAGAGCTAACAGAAATATTTGAAATAAATAAAAGTAAAAGCCTTCTGGAGGAAAATTTTATCTGTAACCACTGAAAATTCCAGAGCAATTGGTCCAGTAATCAAAGAGAATAGCAAATTTTTAGATTTTCCACTAGGTGTCCAAAAAGTGTCAAAGAACAACAACAACAACATAATATTGAAACGATCGCCATTTCCACTACGTGTCCAATAAAAATATTTGTTAGATTTGATCTAACCACGCTTATTTTGGATGTTTATATTTCTTTATTTTGAATATTTACGTTCTATCCACGTATTTTTAACGTGTTTTTGAATAAAACATACTTTCGCCTTACTATCTGTTATTTGTAGCTTATTGTTAGCTAGATATTCTTGGGCGGGGCGCGAGACTTGACAAATTCTAAATGGGGGCGCGGCTTAAATAGTTTGTTAACCACTGGGTAGCGGATGTTAAGACGAAATATTCTGGTCGTTTCAATAATAGCAGGTCCTTATACATCAGTTGTATGTACAGGGCCGTGTTCGAAGACGAAACTTTACGTCATAATAAGAAACACGTCACAATAACAATTCGAAGCCGTTTCAAGCTTTATCTTATTAAATAATTGTCAACTATACGTCACTTACTAAAGCTATTGTAGTTCCGATTAAGTCAAATATAATAATAGTTGAAGGTTTGAAATAATTTGAGTGAATGATTGCAGTTCCTCGCCCGATACCGAATCCGGCCCAGAATAAAGAGTTCAGGATTGAAGCTTGCGCGACCTGTGAATATAAATAATATGCTTTCTTACAGGTTGGGAATTTGTTCTCTAAGTGTGTTACTCTTTTTTTAGCCAGGTTTTCAAGATAGTGAAGAGGGTACTCCCGTGGTATGTGTACCGGGTTAGGGTTAGGCCATAATTTTATTCTGTTTTTAGTTCTATCACGAGTTTGAAGACTGTCTGTGTTAGCCAAGTGAATATACCCCCTGCCCCTAGGCTTCCGTCTCTTTACACAATTTTATGCAAAGTAGGCTATAGCTATGTTATGGTGATTGTATTCGGCCTATTTTTATGCAGAGTGTACTTACGACCGCATATTAGCAGCACTGTGTTTAAAATTTGATTTTTGGCAATTTAAAAATATCTTTTGACTTTAAAAAATTTGTTTAATTTCATATCTCTCAGCGTTTATACAGTACAAACAAATGTGAATATCGCTGAAAATTCTAGTGTAATTTCGATACTGTTCCGCCACTAAGATGATCGGTTGCATCTTACATGGGCGAACTACGGCACGCGGGCCCAAATCCGGTCGTTGTGTAATTCAATCTGGCCTGCCTGATGCTATCGCAACCAAACTAAATCCAAATTTTGATGTTTTTAACAAAATATATCTCGAAAAATTTGTCGAGTTCGATATTAAATTTTTACCTTTGGCACGATGCTTATTGTTTTCCACTGTAAATATGGTTTATGAAATATACCTTTTTACGTCACACTTACATGGCCCGCCAGTCCAGGTGGGCAAAATTTTTGAACCCTGGTCCTAAATCCTTGCCTACTTCTAGGTTATCTACTGTACTGGATTTATCAGAAAAATTATCTATTGAAGAAAATATTTACAGTACACAAACGTCAAACACGTTTACGCGTCTGTACCTTAATTTCATAAAATTGGGTAAAGAAAGGGAAGAGAATGTCTACTAGCCGGAAACAGTTACTAACCAGGATAAAATTATCAGTATATTCTTATAAGAAACTTCGCTATGAAACTGTCTTTGTTACACATGTAATGATTGTAGCAATGCTGAGGCCAAACTCAATATATAATTGTAAATACGCACCGTGAATTGAAGACTTGAACATAGAGCAACTGAGTAAATATATCCTTGGTAGACAGTTTCACTTGTGACGCAACAAAAGTAGTAAAAGACAACAGGAACAAAGAAAAGCCAGACATCTTTGATTGGCTCTTCTGGTCGTTCTTCGGTTGAGTCGACATTGTGTGACGCAACTTTGCCTTCTACGTCACATAAGGCCATTACTGACATCACAATGGCCATTAAGATCGTGTATGTCCCGATGATAATGAAACACCAGTTGATAGGATTGAAGCTATCTGTCGGAATATTTCAAAGTATATAGTTCAGTATGAAGAATTATCGTTTTGATGAAGAATGAACGCTTGCTAGAAAATGGGACAGCGTCAAATATTTCTGTATTAAATTCTAAGAACAGAATTGAAGCTATCAGTCGGAATATCTTGAAGACACATATGTATGTATACGTGTATAGTTTATTATATGACAAACTGTTTGGTTATAACTGGGATAAGAAATCTCGACACAAACATTGATAGTATACACACTGGCATGAATCCCGACCCCTCTTATTATTGTGGCATAATGCCACGGTACAAATCACAAATTTTTATATTCTTTCATATGTATAGGTTGGCTAGAGACGGTAATAAGCTGGGGCCAACAAACGTTTTCTCAATTCTAGACTCTCAGCTATTGAACTCTCCGCAATTGTTTTTCAGTTACTCGCAGGACCCATGGATTAAGATTTGAATGAGATGAGATTTATGCTGATAACTTCGATTTTGCTATGACACTCGACATTCCGGTGTAGTTTGCCAGCTCTTGTCAATCAAAATGGAAAAGCAATTTATCAGTAATCAAGTCAATGAAAAACACATCAATATTTAACGAATCAAACAATCAATCTTCAGTCTCGGGCGGTATGTCAATTAACAGAATTTTGACACAAAAATAGGTATCTGGAACAGAACTCAACTTCAACTATTCAAGTTTAAAGCCCGTGTTCATGCTCGTGTATTTTGATTTTTCAAGATTCAACGCCCGAATTCAACAACTCGCGTTTCTCAAGAATCAACGCCCAAACTCTTTGAATTTGTGTCTTATTATCAATGTATATATTAAACTAAATGTTTTGTGTATCAATCAGATCAGATGATTCATGGTTTATATACATTACCTGTGAATCTTAATAGTGAATTTGGGGGGAGCTGACTTTGATGACCTTATAGTCGTACCGCTCCCTCCAGTCTATACCGAGTTAACTTGCATATTTTGTATATATTTTATTGTACCATTGCTTGTTTTCAGGTTGACGAAATAATATATCTCTGGACCTTCTGAAGTATGCGCACCAAGATGGCGCACAACCTGAGCTCAGGTTGTGTACCACGTTAGGGTTCAGGTTATGCGACATCTTGGTACGCATACTTCAGGAGCACCAAATCTCTTTCTTTCTCTTGTATTCAGTTTCATTCGTTTTGTCATAATTTATAAAATTACGCTTACTTTCGTTCGTCGATCCACCAGTTGTGTTAACTGCCGGGGTGGTGAATGCAATTGTTTGGGTAATATCGTCATCCCCAGGACACGTCGTACCAGAATCCGTTACTTGACTCGCCATTTCAAGGAACGGCTTCGCTGAAAATTAATCGCATTTGTTACTTGGTAAATTTTATCTTATTTAGTTAATTTTTTCAAATGTTTAGTCGCACATTTTGTATAATATATTCCATATTTATGTACTTTAAAGTCAACAGGGCATAGTCTATACCAGGATGGACAAGATTTTGGGACAAAAAAAAAATTGCCTCTTAGATTGGGGGGCTATGTAAGTTACATTTTGCGAACAATATTCACAGTCTTACAAGGCAAAGGTGGAAAACAATAAACCTCGTGACAAAACTAAATTGCAATCTCAACAAATTCATTGAGATATTTTTAGCTAAAACAATTAAATTTGGAAACATTTGCCAGTTTCGTTGTGGCAGCGTCACGCGGGCCAGATTCATTTCCCTAACGGGCCGGAATTGGCCCATGTCAGATCCATACTGTTTTAATAACTACATGTAATCGCAATCTCAACAAATTCATTGAGCTATTTTAAGCTGAAACATCAAAATTTGGTTGTGGCAGCATCAGGCGGGCCAGATTAAGTTACCCAACGGGCCTGATTTGGCCCGCGGGCCGTAGTTCGCCCATGTCATATCTATACCGTTTTGATAATGCGTATATTGAACAACGTATAGGGCGGGCCAGATTGAGTTACTCAACGGACCGGATTTCGCTCGCGGGCCGTAGTGTCAGATTTATACCGTTTTGATAATGCGTATATTGAACAACGTTGAAAGGAGCCTATAACCATCTGTATGAGTAGGGTTGTAACTCAACATGGGTTTAAGTAAATCATTTACGTTGACTCTTCACACTGGAACGCTATTCCATTTCAATTTGGGTAGTACTAATTTTCAGCAATAGGAAACAATAATCGGCGCTCCAGGAGTGTGTGTATCATTATGGAGGTATCTAATTTTGTTTGCCTACATTACATCAAGTTGTGTAAAGGGAACGGAAGCTTCTGGGCAGGGTGTATATTCACTTCGCTAACACAAACAGTCCCCGAGCTCCTAATAGAACTAAATTAATTTAAAATGAAATTATGGCCTAATCCTAACCTGGTACACATAATAATTACTATACAAACTATAGTCCATACCAGGCTCGACAAATGATTTACAGATAAAAATAACAGTTGAACAAAATTCGAAACATATATATAATTTGAACAACAGGGGGCATTTAACAAATCCTTAATAGGGCTATGCTTTATATAGTAATGATCAATATATGCCCGATTGGTAGCTTAATGTTAAATGATAGTAAAAGTAAAATTGGAAATGGGTGATCTTTGATATTATGACGCTGATAAAACACACAGAAAACCAAACAGTTCTCTTGACCTTGAGAAACCTCAATTAATCAAATATTATGAGACGTTCGGGTAACGAATGAATTGATCAAACAGCTTGTTTATTCACCTCTCAATAACGGTTAGTATGTTCTATAACCTTGGGCGCGCCCTACATGGGGACGTAGATAATTTTTGAGGGGGGCGTAAAGCTAATAGCAAATAGAAGTGTTTGTTGGATTTGATCTTGCCCGCATTATTTTAGATATTTACGTTCCATCCACGTATTTTCAATGTGATTTTTGAAATAAAACATACTTTCTCCTTACTATCTACTATTTGTAGCTTATTGTTAGCTGATTATTTATGTGATGGGGCGTGGGACTTGACAAAATCCCCAAAAGGGGCGTGGCTTATAAAGTTTGAGAACCATTGATCTGGAAAGTAGTTTAATATTACCTATAACCGGAGCTAGAAATGCTCCGACGCTGAATCCAAAGTGAAAAGATTGAATGTACGGCCTCGATCCTTTCTCGCCCCAGAGCTTCAAATATACTGCTTGCATGCCTTGAATAAATAAAAGGTTTAAAATTATTTTTTTGTGAAAACTGTTAGGTTGTCCATTACCTAATCTGATGTAATTGAATTAGGCAAACAATATCGTCAAAACCAGAAAGATGCGAATTCTTTAAAAATCTTCTATCCACATAGCCTTGTTCAGGACGAGGATGTGAGGATGCATCGTAAAAATTTAAATGCCTCGAAATTTAAAGGCACAACCTCGGATGTGTTGTCCAATTCATACCCATGTTAGTACATAGCCGTGTTCAGAACGAAGGTGTGAAAACGCCATTAAAATGTTTAGAAATTTTAGGGTCGAAACCACAGAGCGGCCTCAGATATCATATGTTGTCCAAGGCATAGTCTTAGTGGAAATTTTGCATATGTGGCCAGCAAGTTATTCGTACTTATTGTAAAATGAATTCGTTTCACTACTCCAAATTGTGCACAAAACCCATTTCCAATTAAGAATGATGCTTCCACATTGGGTTCGGCGATATGTTCGAGTTATATAACGAGGATATAAACTCCTACGAAAAGTAATATACGATTGCAAGCATAAACCAATTTGCTCAAGAGATTGAAGAGTCCCCCAGTACATAATGCTTCCTGAATCCTTCAGAATAGACATAAGGCTCATTTAAACAGCATTATCTTATACCCAGACAAATCCGATGGCAGAATATGCCGCGAGAAGCCCCATTTATTAAAGTTGACAATACATACCCGCATCCAAATACCCGAACATAAGTCCTCCTACGGTTGTTGCCACTACAAGTCCTCCGAGATTCGTTAGAAATGGAGTAACAAACATTACAATTCCATTCACACCAAGTCCAATACCTGAAGAAACGATTAGAACGATATTATTGCTCTTACTGTTTCTGACAGAGCTTACTAATTGATACTGAAGCTTATAACAGTAAATATGTGTGTGCTCATTTCGCAAATCTTAATTACCATTACCTTAATCAGTGTTTAAATTAGCTATGGTATTTGGTATGACAATTTCGCTATAATCTGCAAATATATATTTAAGTACCGTATTTATTATTATAATTTTATGAAATCTTATAAGTTTTCTGAACCAGGGATATGATTTTTTTCCTTGGATGGATGCTCTCCCCGTGTCGAGAACATATTCTATGACAGAAAGAAATTTTTTGGATAGTTGACAAAATAGGAATACTTATAGGGATAATGTTGTTATTTTAGTAAGATTTTACTGTTTTTTTTTATATTAATAACATTAATCGAAGTAAAACCAGATAATTTAGACGTATTTAGAATCATAAGACGTTCAACCTACAAATAAAGCAAAATATACTTTCTAGACTAGAGCCTAAAATCCAGGCTATATACTTATATGGGATAAATTAATAAATTAAAATATCTTCATAGTAGTCCGAACAAAACGATAAGCGTGGTAAATGTGAATGTCCTTATTTTAGAATCCCAAATGTGTTTTGCTTTTCTCGTGATAAACGAAGCCGCCACCCAGATTATTTTGGGTACTCTTTGGGGTTGGGGCATAATTTTATTCTGATGTTTCTTATTTTAGTTCGATTACGAGTTTGGGGACTGTCTGTGTTAGCCAAGTGAATATACACCCTGGCCCTGCTCATAGGTTTCCGCCTCTTTACACAACTTGTGTAAAGAAGGCGAACAAAATTAGTAAACGACAGTGTGCAAACGATAAAGTATTCCATTTGTGTCCAACGTATTTAATTACTCACCCAAGCTGAGTAGAGGTTTAAATTTTGTCCATTTGCTAACGACAGCACTGAAGACTGCAGAACCAACCAATATTCCAGCAGATCTACCGGTGAACATCGATGACACTTGCCGGACCTCGGCGTTTACATTGTCCGCAAGATAGAGCAGTGTTGGTCCGGTGATGGAAATGAAAAGTCCCTGAAAATAGTATGATATTATTGAACATGTAATGAACTTACAATTCGTTCTTCTATATGGTTTTTGTTGCTGTTATGACAACACATCGACTATTGGCCCCAGTGCTTAAAGCAAGCGTAGGAAAGGCTTTGAACCAGGGACCAAAAATTTCGTCCACCTAGCCTGGCGGGCCATGTGATTGTAAGGTAAAAAGTTACATTTTATGAACATAATCTTTAGCAGAAGTTATAAACAAAACAAAAAAACGTTACAAACAATTGCATTATGGGGGCGTCGACAAATCTTTGTCGGCACTACATTGAAACTCACATACCATTAACGTCTTTGAAAACCTAAAATACAACTTTCACAGACTACGATCATAATCTAACAAGCATGTTGCATCATACAGATTTCAATAACAGCTGCTATGTAGTGCGTGCAGAATTGGTTAAAATTAGAAATTGATGGTAGCATCAGGCGGGCCAGATTAAATTACCCAACAGGCCGGATTTGGCCCGCGGGCCGTAGTTTGCCCGTGTCAGGGTTAAAGCGTTAGGCAAAAAAATATTGGCATCACGGGGTAAAATTATTGGTTTGATTATCATGCCTCACGTCACCCTGTGTGTCATAAATTGAGTGGGCAATAGAACTGGAAAAATTCCGGTACTTCCAAAATATATTATCTATCAGTGGCTGATTATGGAGGGCTTTGTTTAAAGCAATGATCGGGAACCCATCGCTCGCGGGCTCTTTTGGTGACGGCATAATTATGGCCCCCTGAAAAATCTGAAATTCCAAGGCTAATCTTACTATCTAATTACTATTAAGTTTCGAAAAAAGCGACCAAAATCCAAATTCGTTTACAACATTATTCTAAAATCTGTGTATTCAGTTGTCATCATAACGTCTGGGCCTATTCTTGTGAATCCTTTTGCTAAATTGTTGTTTTTGCTATCATTACAATTGCTCGTACTGGTGCACAGGGGTGTAGCCAGGAATTTTCAAAGGGGGTGGGGTCAGAAATTGTGGTTCCATTACATTTGAACCCACGTACATTTGAACCCACGACAATTGCACCCGCATGCCATTGCACCTATGGAAATTTTTTTGGTTTTACGGATATTTGTACTCATACTAACCTAACCCATGGGTTTTAGCACCCGCATATTGATTGAAGCCGCGGATATACACATGGGTTCAAATGTACGGTCACCGAAATTGTTAATAGTCAAGTCAGACCATAACAGACCCGAATCCAAGGTCCGGGCCGGGCTAAAGGGTCTTAAACGTTGAGCGTTATAGCAGGGTTATTGGTGTTTTTTGACGGTTTTTCACTGTTTTTAGGCGGGTTTTAAAAGCGTCAAAAAATTGCTATGTAAGATACCGAGCTATTTTTTACCTCAGAAAAAAATTCATTGCTTCAGCCAATGTTTCGCTAGTTTTATAGATGTCATCGAAAAATAAATTGCAAACGAATCTTTTATATTAATTATACTAAGCTGTTTTGAACTTGTTATCAGATGAAAAGCTGAAGCTGTAAGACTGTCGTAGTTTTGAAGGAGATAGGCAAACTCTTAATTCTGTTTAGAACATTGCTTCAATATTGGTGTCGAGAAGTGCTATTTTTATTTATTCAATCTATCATAAAATTTGGGAATATTTTGGTCTTTCAAGACAAGAAAAACAATGTGGGGATATAGTGACAGTAACGTTTACGGTTATTATTTTAAATAAATTCCACCAATCAAATTGAAAGAAAATACTCACGTGACCGATTCTGGCTAATGTGATGATTACAACAAGTGAAGCTACCCATCCTGTGTTTTTTCGTTCGACTAAATTGCTATCTGACGCATCGATGCTTTCTGAAAAATAAAATTGCATTTAGAAAAATTATGGTTTTTGTATTTCATTCTTCATTTACTCTGTTGCAGTCTGTTATCAATAAATGCCAAATATCATGATTTGTAAACAAAAAAGTCTCTAAACATTGAAACCGGAATAAAACTACCTTAATTTTTGTAGTTCGATATTCATAAACTTAAACTTTGGAATATACAGTCAAAAATTACTTATCTCCTCATATTGTCTTTCCTCAAATGTAAAAAAGTACAAATCAGTTTTAACAGATTACCGCAGCCGTTCCGATTTATTTTAAAAATTCCTACCTGCGTCGGCTTTATCTTTTTTCTCATCCATGATTTTTTTTTATCAGTAAATGTTTATAAAATCTATTGTTTCCAACAAAATGAACTTTATGACATCACAAAGGAACAAAATTAAATTGTGAAAATTATGCAGAAATTAAATTCAAATGCTAAACTTGTCGCTAAAATAGAATAGAGTGAGGGTGTATCTAGACTTATTGTATATTTTTCTTCTCTACATTTATCTATAATAAAAAAACTGTCGTACGACAAAGGTTTGAACATATATATGGACTGATTTCTGAAGTACTATAACAGTAAATTTTGAAACTTTTTGTTTTCTGATTACATGTACCGTATTTCCCGGCTAATAAGTCGCTTTTCTAGACCCAATTGTTTGGCCTCATTTGGGGGGGGGGGGAGTATTATTCGGCAGGTATGTTTATTTTTCCGTGGTTCGTTTATTTTTTTGCAGGAGTCTTCTTAAACATGATTTGTTTTAGTGAGATAATAATTATAATTACCGACGGAATTCGTAGAAAACCCGCAGAATCGAATTTTTGTTTTTGTAGTAATTTATATAAAGAGTCTTTACAGCTGTAAAATATTGATATTTTCTTATTCCTTCCGCATGAGGCGTTAAGACGACATATCTATTTCAACGTACAATGGCATCATTGTGTTGAAAAAATTATCTTACTTTGTGCTTTTGAGACTCCAAGTATTATTGATATAATGATACAGAATAATAATATTCATAACGCGTTCATTTTCCCTGTGTTTCAATATTTCCATTCTAATGTATAAATACAGCTTAACCACAAACAATTTTGGAGACTTTCCTAGTTCCGATACATAGTGCCGTATGAGTTCCTAATTAGGTATATGATTACAATTATTTACTGGACGTAGAAGTTCCTTCCCGTTTGGCATGATCCCCGAACTTTTTATACACGAACCAACCATCGAATACACTACACGTTCTGCGTGTACGCCGTTCCAAATAAGCAACTATCACTCACTAATTTTGTCGATGAATAAGAATAACATATTCTCATTTCACGAAATAGCAAGTATTGTTGAAGGGATTATGTTATTCCTATTTATCTTCATAATACGATCTCGTTCAAGCATTTTTGTGGCAACTGACACACACGGATCCTAAGTAGAAAGCAAACAAAGAGAAAGGATTTGCAGTTCAGTACACAATACCCTAGTACATAATTTTTATTGATTCTGTGTTTATTGAGCCGTGCCCTGTCATTTATATAGATTTTCATTTATTAGTTTTTTTTATGTAAATTTCATCAATAACCCCTTCCATATCACCCACGTCAGATAGTGACAGTAAAATATGTCCAACCTGACCTTGACTATTTATTTATCTATATGTTTGAAATATCTAACGTTCGTACAGTATCATTATGACTGGGATGAAGTCCCCGATTATCCACACAAAACTTGAATATATGGTCTCGAAAATAACGTTACAGGCGGCTAAGTGTAACTGAAAGCCCGACTCATGTATACAGCAGAAAGTACCGAATTTGGATTCGCCTGCTATTTAACTAAAGTTAAGATCTAGATAAAACTCATCAATTTATAACCTGCCTACAAAGTAATGCGATTCGCCACTATTAGACTATTGACAACTTTTATAACACTTTGCAATAGGCGACAGAATTAAGGTATATATTGAATACATCTAATATGTACAGTGTGTCCATAAAATCCCTTTCCAATTTCAATTTTGTTTTGAAGTCAGTTCTCATATATTTTAACCAAGTTTCTGGTTTTTATTCATTAATCATTCAAGTATTTTTACTTCATTTAATACATCTGTGAGGGCCAAAACAATATACGGTATCGTTTGATTCCCTTACTTTGAAAAATAAAGTTAAGACGTTATGGATACCCTATAAGGCTTATATAATTACTTCTGGTATATATTGAACTGACATAAAAGATAACTAACTAACCCATTCGTACAAAATATATGCTTAATATCAAATGCCTGTCTGACTGACGAACTACAGTAACTTCTATCGTCTAAAAAATGTTGTACTAGTTACGAAACTGTGGCATGTTTACTTTTGTTATTAAACAAATATGAAGAAGATAGGTTATATTACGATTAACCCTGTAAGCAGTGTTAATACAACGCCCGTGCCTGCTCATATTAATGAGGCGTTTCACACGTCACTCAACAACGGTCGCTGTACAAGCAGCAACCAATACGTCGAAGGGTATTCTTTTTTTATATTATACAGGATGTGCATAAAATCCCTTTACAATTTCAATTTTTGTTATGAAGTCAGTTCTCGATAAACCATTTTTTTAATTAGTGATTGTTTACGTATTTTTACTTCACTTAAATATTTATGTGAGGGCCAGATTTTAAGTCTTTATGGACACATTATATATTATTGAATATTTGAATATTTTTGGCGCCATTGAACCCTTTGCACTTAGCATCAACTTTTCTGCGTTTTGTTGTCATTTGTCTATGTATTAAAAATTATAAGCTCATTAAACAAGTAATTATGAATTATATACTTGTTAGGTTATATTATCTACACATGTTTCACAATAAATCTGTTATACAAAGAATATAATCGTCAAAACAGCTGTTTTGTTACTATAATTCAGTAAAGCGTCGCGGGCCAGATTATATTACTCCACGGGCCGGATCCGACCCGCGGTTCGTAGGTTGCCGACCCCTGGCTAGCGCATATGCATTCTCAATTGGTGAACGATTCTCATATTCTTTGATTATATAGTAACAACTGACCGGGGTCGTCTTTATGTGGGGTGTTTCTTACTTTTACTCCCAAATAGGCTTCAGACGTACTGAAACGTAAACAACCACTACTGCGCGCCTACGGGAGGACCGTGGTTTTTAGAAAGTTGCATTACATGCCCGATTTGAAACTGCGAAATGTATTCTTGTTTTACTGTGTCAATCAAAGTATGCTATAATAAAACATTAGTGCTAATCTCTTCTGTGGTTATTTTTATCGTTATCTAATCGTTTCAGTTGTATATGCAGATAGTTGTGATTAGATTCAGAAAGCCGATAAAACCAAAAAAACGTAAGGATTCAGCAAATATAAATTACTGTGTTTTGTTGGTGAACTTTGCGTGTTTTGTATGCTGTTAAAGAATGCTATGCTGTTTTATATGCTATGTAAAGAATGCAGCACTGCGTAAACACTTTTATCACTAATGTATTCGTTAGTAAATAAGCGATTTATTAATCGGCGAGATTGGTAAACATTGTACTTTTTGTGTTGACCGAATTTAAATTGATAAACTGTTCCGTCAAACATGATTTATAGATGAGTTTCTCACAGAGTCGTGATGCCCTTCATATCATGATAGATATGGTTCTAATTTTTAGAAGCGACTGATGCGGACATAATACATGCAACATTCATACTCGTTTGAAATATACATTAGGGCCAGAAACAAATAACTGAAAGAAACCGCGGGCCGCAACTTTATTCAACATTGGCTTTCTAGTTGTTGCAGGCACAAAAAGCATTGTAACGTTGGACTCAGATATAGGATTGTAACGCAAAGGGTTTGTAATTATCACATTACCAGATCAAACTAAACTTGTTTCGCGGGCGCACATCATTCAAAAATGGCACGTTTTAGCGGGCCGCACAATTTTTACTGGTGGGCTGCATCTGGCCGCGCAGGCTGCACAACCCCGCCTTGTAACCATACAGATAGTTCGAAAATTCATCAGAAGTTGGCACTATCATAAATTTGTGCACAATAATGTTTCATTTATCCCATCCTTAACTTTTATTTTCACCCTAAAATTAGTTTCTATGACTAAGCCAGTGCTGCCCAACCATTTATGACTCGTGCCTCCTTCTGCAGATTTTTGCACTAATGACCCTGTTTATCATTCCAGTAGTATTAATAATGTATTTTGATCGGTAGATTCCAAATCCTATTATGTTCATGCACAACAAAGTGCAAACACCGTGTAAAATAACTTTACCAAGTAAGGAAATTAGTAAGAACGGGTAGTTCTAGTTTCCTTGGTGAAATCAGTTTTTCGCTTAGCTTTGTAGCCCTCTCCAACTGCTGTGCCCCTGGTTGGGAACCGCTGGACTTAGATTTAACGCTTTTTTGCAAAGTACACTACATTGACACAATTGGCAGTAAATTAGATGCTCTCGTAATTATAGACAGATACAACTTACCATTTTTCAGTTGTTCGTAGCCGCCATATTTCTTCTTTATGAAATCCATAGACATAGAGATAGCTGTGGTTGGCAATTCTTATAGCATTATGGATTATAAAATCAAAATTTAACATAATCTACAAAATATACAAAAGAATATTAATAGAATTGCAAACTTGGAACTAAATTAGAATCAAGTTATAGATAATTTCAGCTTATACACTTTTGTGTTAGGTCTGGCCGAGTATGGAAACAGGTGGTTTTATAACCCAATGGTGGAATTCGGGGGAACCGTTTTTGGAATGACTTGATAATCAGCGATCTCGCTCTTGTTTTCTTCTTGTTGTGGACGAGCACTGCAAATGAGAAACAAGCAACGCAGCTAATAATATGTTTGACGTTTGGAAAGTTATGTATTAGATTTACGTAAAGTGTGTCATGTTAGTGTAGCTTACGTAGTGACATATAGGGTGTCCATAAAGTTTACAATTTTTGAAATTGCTAAGTGAATTTATCGATACCATATATTGTTTTGGCCCTCACAAATGTATTAAATGCAGTCAAAAAAATGATAAAAAAACAACAAACCTGGTTAAGATATATTGACTTCAAAACATAATTGAAATTGTAAAGGGACTTTATGGACACCCTGTATATTGTAAATATGACGTACAGTTATGGAGATATAGGTTCGGCGTGTCTTTTGCAAAATGACGGAACCTGTTGTTGAGGGTTTCAATGAAAAGAGAACCCGCTCTTAAATTTTTGAATTCTAGCACTGATTAATCTAGGGCTCCGTTATAAACGGATATTTCACTAAAAGTCAGCCTACAACCAGGTCGTAGACATCATCATTTCTCCCAAATGACACACAGCAAGTCTGTTCCCAAAGAGTAAGAGAGAAAAGATTATTGGTAGAAGAGTAAATGACGGTTGATACGGGACTTGAAATGCTCA